AGTTCTGATTTAGCCCAAACCAGGACAATGGCATGGACACACACCAAACAAAAACCACGCACCCCCACCAAAGCTTCCCTCCCTTGGGATCTCACCACCCGAGACTGACGTTTTCTGTTTCTAGCCAATGGGCAAAATACGCTTGTGTTTTGTAGAAAGCCTCTGGTGGCAATGAACTTCCTTCTTGTTCTGTTTAATGGCAAAGAATGCTTTTGTGTTTAGGTCCAGCTACGTGCAAATTTAATGAGTGTTACCATTTCTAGTATTGCAGTGCTTTTAAAGATGGCATTTGCATTTAGAATAACATGCTATTCTTAAAACTTTGTAGCACCTGGACAGCGATGAGGATTCTCCGCTAGTGACGCTTTCCTTTGCCTTGTGCATACTGGGTCGAAGAGCTTTGGGAACCGCAGCTCACAATATGGCCATCAGGTAATTTTTAGGGATCCTTTCTCCTCATCTTAAAGCGAAGACCTGTTTGTCTTTTTTCGCTTAATGTGGAATCTCAAGAGAAGATTAGATCAAGGTGAAGTCTCTTTCCTCTGTAAAATCATTTATTTTCTGCGATTCCTGGACATCTTTTCCCTTGGTAGTTGGCTAAATAACTAATACCAGTCTTTATTTCATAGGGCAGAGCAGAATTTTGCATTGAAAGAATGGGTACCGATGGTTATTGCTTGTGTTCGCTCATGCCTGGCCTGGCTACGGGAATGCTGGCTTCCTCCAGAAGAGGAAGAAACTGCTAAGTCGTTTGACATCTAGTTAGCTCAATAATAATAAATCCATAAGGGCCCTGTATTCCTCAGGGCTGTATTCCTGATCATTGCGCCACTTCATTCTGTCCACTGAGGAAGGGAGAATCTCGCATCTCGTGAGATCACAGCTTTGTCTGTTCTCAACCTACCTTACTCATTCATTCAAAACACTTTTTCCTAGAAAGTCAGGTTAATTAAAATATGCTTGGTTAAGATTGTTTCTGAATATGCTCTTCATCTTACGTTTTCATTAGGGATTCTTCCATTTTTCACTAGGAGTTCTGAGTTGTTTGGGTTTTATAAACTACATTTCACACTGTTCTATAAATAAGGCATTTTATAAATGAAATAATTATATTTTAATAAAGTCCAACTTCTCACCTAATTTTAGATTTTTATTAGATGTATTTGAACTCCCTGTGCTCACAGGAGTTTAGTAACAGTAGAGAAGTTGAGTAAATACAGTTTCTAAGTGACCTTGCTGTATTGGCACAAAACTGTGAGCAAAGCTAGCTAGCCCTCTATCAATGTGCTCCTTAGAGAGGATTTGTCTCGCTAACAAGCAAACAAAGACAGCATGTGTGATTTCGAATGCGCTTTGTGTTATGAGATAAACCAGTCCTTTTAAATATTCATTCCAGCTTTGTTATCTGTTGAGACATTTTGGCTTTGTCTTCCTCTTTTGGTCAGTCGCGCAAAATGTTTGTGGCCCACATGGTTTATTTCTTGGTGTGCTGCTGCTTTCTGCTTCCTAAAGTGGTTTTGGTCATCTCTTTTCTACTAGTCTTTGCGCACTCCCTTCCTGTAGTAGTTTTCTTCTGGGTTGAGTTTCCTCTCCCTTCATTTTTGTGCACTCAGATTAGTGTAATGTTTAGTAAGTCATTGATACTTCTAAAATTTTTTGATGATCCAAATTTTAGAGTTTGGGGAGATGATAGCAAAGTTGATGTGCATTTATAATTTTTTTTGAGAAGAGATTAAAGTGATTTTGATCTGGGCCGGCAGGAGGTACGTCACAGTGATATTAGAAATGCTTCTTAAAATATCACAAAAGCTTCCTAAAACTGTCATCACGTTGCATGTACTTTCCACCAGATCTTAAAATCTTTGGCACTAGTACAGATCCAATAACAATGTCACCTATTTGTATTGGCTTACAAGGTTAGTAGCGAATGCAAAGAGATAACATTATCAGAGACTATCTAAAGCTTAACACGGAAAGTATGAATGTTGAGGATAATTATTTGTAAAGTCTCCTGTAAAGATTTTAATAATAATCTACCAAACCTTTTTAAAATCTGGAAAATTAACAGTGAACCAAATCAGTTCCTCTCTTTTGGTGAGTGGACACTCCATACTTGAAAATACTTTTTTTGAGGAGAAAAGGTCTGTAGAAAGGCAAAAAAATGTAGCAGTCATATGCAGTGCACAGCTCTGTCCCTGTTTTTCTGAATCTATTCTATATGATCCTATATCTTTAATTATGTCCTGGTTTTCTTTTTATCAAGCAGGTGCTCCAGGGCAGTATTGAATCATTGTATTTTTAAAATGTATTTTGTGACTTAAAAGGGATTAAGTGGAAGCTTCTGTCAGTATCTTTTTCAGTGCTACTTCACAAAAGCTTTCCCTAGAAAAGTTTCACTGTGGAAAAACTGTGTCACTTACCAACCTGGTTAAATTACCTTTAATATATTTCAGCTGTCAGGAAGATTTGGGGGGAAAAAAGGAAACTGAGTAGCAGTTCAAGTTAAAAATTGCCACAGCTACAAAACAGCTTTAGCTTGGTGAAATACGTTTATTTTTGTCTTAAAGAATTTATATCTTTATTTTAATTGACAAAAGCAATTTAGTAGAAATCATTAACTAAGGAGCAAGGTGGGAATGCTAACCCCTTGACACCAAGACCTTTATCAACAAAAATCCCCCAGATACATTCACTTCAGCACAGGGGGCAGTTCTTACCGCACTTGCCATGTTTACTGCTTTAGACAGATCTTCATGACTTAACTAAACACAAAGAAGCAGTAAGTCAGCCAGACTCCGATAGGAACACAATTGTACGGCATGCCGGGGGAAGGAGACTTTGTCCAACACGTGCAACGCTGCCGAGGCCAGAAGATGTTCCTGAGGATTAACTTTAGGCGCTGAAGGCAGATCTCCCTCCTCTCTCTCTGTGTTTGGTGGAGATACAGCAGCTCTTACGGAGGGTGGTTTAGAGCGTTATTGCTGGTCCTCGGCCCCAGTTCTCAGGCTGCTGCAGGTCTGCATTCAGTCAGGTGGGGGAGAAGTACCGAAGGTCCTCAGAAGCTGGAGGAATCATTCCTTAGGTGGTGCTTCACAGTCCTTTTCCCTTGAAAAGGTGTCCTGATATTTTGGGGACCTTTTGGAGCCTACTGGTGCTGAAGAGGGTTTTAGTTTTGTGCAGAGATGGTGTCAGACCAGGCAGGTGCACAGCCGGCTGTGTGCCCGAGGGGGAGGTGCCACGTGCACGGCTGTTGGGAGCTGGCTCACTCTGTAAGGGATCAGGGCTCCTAACATGTGCTCTGTCACGCTCGAATGCTGGGCTACAAAAGCTTCAGTTACTTAGACTGCGCTGGGAGGCACAGAAATGGCCTTGAACTCTATCTCAGGACTTCCTTTTAACTCTGGCTGCAAAGCATCTTGTGTACAACACTGCTAGAGGTTTCACGACAAGTTTAAGATGTAATGGCCAGATAGGCATTGTAGTCTTCTCCTCCCCACGCTTACTTCTATGAAGTGTTTCAGAAACGGCCATCATGAGCAAACTAGCCAAGATTCCACGCTCTGGGGTCCATGTTTTGTTCTTGGGGGTAACTGTGTAGGTGGTAGGAAACTGTCTCCGCGCTAAGCCTAGCCCTCGCTGTGTTGTGAGGAGTGACAGTCATCCAACAGTAATGTAAAGGTAATGCTACACCGAGATGTGCACTACAGAATTGAGATTCAAGTTTACACTGTGTATGTAAACTATCAATTTGCACTCATTTACACATGATTTTGTCTAATCTATTAATCAGTAAATGTCACTGTGTAAACCAAGGTTTTTAAATGCTCTTATATAATGTATGTAAATAATTATTCAATGTACCTGTTCATGTAAATGTCAGTAGAAACCCGACATTAACACTAGATTACACAATAAATGCATTCATTAAGAAGGCAGAACATTGCTATGCAAATCAAATGCTCTTTTAAACTGTCATTAGGAGGCATCCTGCACAAAATGCAATTCGAAGAACGATATGACATTACCATTCATTTATTCAAATCTGAGTGATATGTTTAGGTGTGCATTTTTAAAAAAGGACTTAATAATCCTATTTGGCCACTAGATCTACTAATACATAAATGTTTAGTATACATTTCAAATTTGGAAAAATATAAAAATCTCTTAACAAAGCAGCTCCCATCAGATACTTCCAATGCTACCATGCCTGGATGCTCAGGTCCCTTCAGCTCCCTTTGGGTGGTATCACTCAGTGTGGACAGAGGGTCACTCCAAGAAATGTCTCTGCCTGGAGGAACCGCTGCTCACGCTGAAGCCCAGGGAAGCAGCTGGCCCCCTTGCCCCTTCCCTCCTGGGCACCACATCACACTGCCCGGCATCTGAGGGGAAAGAGGTGGCGGGCACGGGACATGGCACCACTATGCTGCCGGTGATGCTGCACTGCTGGTGGGAGTTCAAGCAGACAGTGCAGCTCTGCGTCTGCCAGAGCTGAGCGGAGCAGAAGCAAGGGAGAAAAGTTTGTCACTCAGCTCACAACCACTGTTGTCTAAAATATCAGATTTAGAAGGGCCACCATGGAAAACCTTTCATTCAGGTGAGGTACAACATTCAGGTCATTACCAGCTCACAGGCTTGCATGTTTCTTCATTCCTGAAGTAAATCTACAGTTAGTGTTGGGGAAGGTCTATAAGCTGCAGTGAGAGGATGGGTTTTGGTGTGTAAAATACACACAGAGATATCCACCAGCTCATTAGTCTTCATCCGTACTGGTTTTGGGCTTGCATCAGATGCTTTTAGTTCCAGCTGTTGGAGCATCGTAAGGAGTGCAGTAGGAGGGAGTATTTGCTTTGGCTCTGTTGCCCTCCCCCTGGTACTTGTGGTGCTACTTAATCCTCTCCTTTCTGCACATTTGAGGGGCCAACAGTTCCCACACACCTACTAGTCTTGTTCTAAAATAGCTCGCAGTTGTGACAGCAGCTTTTTGGGCTCTTAGCTCAGAGGGTTAGAAATGTTGCCAGAAATAGTAGTTATGTCTCTTCCTGATTAATGTTTCTTTGTCATGTGAATTTACCTTAACCAGTTTTAAAAATATTTTGAACAAGCCTGTATCTACAGCAGATTACTGACTAAGGTGTGTTAAAACTGGGCCAAGAAAGCAGCAACAACCTTGAGTCAAGCCTGAGATCAAAGCTGTTGGCTTTACAGCTTCCTTATAATCTCATTAGTCTTCAGGAGAGAGCATAACAATGGGAAGAATAACAACAGCTCTATCTTATGTGGATTAAGGCCTGCGTGTTACAGAAGTAATGGCTTGAGATAGTGTCACATTATAGGCGGAATGTACCCAAAAGCCTCATTACGATTGGCAGGAGAATAAAAGATGCCCATGGTTTTGTGAATACAGCAATCTCCTCCAGACCTCTCTGGTGGAAAATATGAGATATAAAATAATTGACTCAGCCTCTCACAACTACTGCCACCACTGCTTTGCTCCTTGTAGCAGTCATATTTGTTCTTAAAAATGCTGGTTAGAGAACTTATTATGCAGAGGGATGAGAAATGGATGAGTCTTCCCTAACCAAGCACAGTGGGAGCTGTACATGCTTCCCTCCGCTCCCTCTGCTGATGCTCAGCTGCAGCTTGCATAGCTGTCCTAGTCCTGGCCTTGCTTTCAGCAGATACTGCTGCTCACCGCAGCCTGTTTAGCATGTGCTAATGCCTATAAGACATTCTGATGTGAATGCAAACTCTTTGTCTGCTCTGCTGTTCAGATTTGGCTCTGAGAGCCTCTAATGATGTAAAAAACAGTTCACTCTCCTGCCTACCCCTCCCTTCATCCCAGCTAACTTTTCAGAGCAAATACAGGGCATGTTATGTGGGGAAAAAACATACTACAGATTGTCATTAGGTGCAGAGTTCAGGGTATTTTTTTTCAGTTTCATCCTGGGAAGAATATTTAGATACAGAAGTGTTTTTTCCAGGCAAGGGTTCAGCTGTGTATGGTGGATGTTGTCTACTGGGTGGGCAAATGAAAGGACCCTTCCTGGTTTCTAGCCTTTTCAAAGGAGACAATAGTCATATATTTCACCATGCTGGCTGCACCCACCATTTTTTTCCCTCTAACTGGTTTATTTTAGGGCTTTTTGGGTATCATTTTGGACATAGTTTTCTAAACTGTGGAGATAATTGATTGAAAGTTGGTGGGGATCAGGACTCACTCCTAGAAGACACAGAACTCCCCCTGAAATCAGTGCTTGAATGTTTTGAAGATCTGAGTGTAAGTGCCTGGCTCACGTAGGCATGTTTTAATACATAACCTAGTACTAATAAATGCAAATCAGTTAAGAATTCACAAGAGCCTCCCTGTACACTTCATGTTCCCAGCAGTGACAGCAGCCCTGCCTTCCTGACTGGCTTTGGTCCCACTGATTAGTTGATTTGTATTACACAGCGCTTTCACAGAGAAAATCAGTATCCAGCTGTTTTTCTGGTAACAACATATATATCTTTCCATTCTAATTTCTAAAACATGCTACCCACCAACGGCAAAATTAGAATGTGTCTGAGCTGAAGATAGGCCAATCTCCCCGTCTCTCTTCTCGCACTCTCTGAGAAGAGAAAAAATTTAAAAGGTTTTTTTTTTCCTTTTCCTAAAATGATTAAGAAAGCTCAATTATGTGGAAAGATTATGCGTTCTCTGGAGAAAGGCTGGGCGGTAATGAAAACTGCTGACATCTTAATGCAGCTTCTCCTCAGAGCCTTTACAATCTGAAAAAATCAGCTGTTGTGAGAGTAGAATCTTGGCAGGTAGATGAATCCATGTCCTGTGGGTTTGCAAGAGATGCCTGTGTTTAACAGATGGTTCTGTTTTCCTCAGTTTCGAGGTCACTTCTTCAGAGCAGCGTTAGGACAGCTGTCCTGCTCTGTAAGCATTATAGTGGCTGTGGCATTGTGGGAAGCTCGTGATTCGGAGTGCAGATCGGAGCTGAAGGCTGGTTGTTTCCCTTCACAAAGCCCTCGTGCAACCATTTTCTAACAGCTAGTTGATTTTGTACCTTTTGCCTCTTCCTTAAATCTCAGGTCCAGGCAAACCGCCATCCAAGGTCAGGCAGAACTGGTTACATCTAGTTTCTTACATTCGAAAAAAGAAACCCAGTGCGTATTTGCTTTAGGGCTCATTGTTTCAGTATGAAATGCCGGTCGTTTGATTCACGCTCTCACCCAGTTTGCTGAACAGTTCCTGAAACTTGGTATTCTTCTTAGTACATCTGGTTTAATGTTCACGTCTGGGTTCGAGTTTCATGACAGAAGTCTCAGATTTGCTGAAAATGTTTTTTACAGCTGTTGGGTTTTTTTAATCTTTACCTTGCAAGGAGAACTGCTAAGAGTAACAAGGCCAATCAATAAACTTTCAAAGGAGGGAGCAGCTTCTGCTTCCTGCCCAGGGATTGCAGAGCAGCTGGCACCCTTTGACCTGGTCTCTTTGGCACAGGCGCAGAGAAGCAGCACCCTGAGGCACCCTGTGACCCGGCCTCCCATCCTTAGGACATCCTTCGTTCTGGGTGCCACCCTCGTTTGGTGGCCGGTCATTCACAGTGCAAGCCAAAGGAAAATCCCCTGCCCCGAGGAATGGTTTCTCATTAGACATACGCAACGCGGCTGCTGCTTTATGCCCCCGGCAGGAGCTCGCCCCGCCCCGGGGGGCCCCCGGCCACTGCACAGCTCAGCACGTGGCCAGGGGCTGGCAGGGGTCCGGCTTGGTGAGAGGCGAATGGCCTCTGGGAGTGACTGCTGCCTTTCTCTTACAGCTTGGACTCTTTTCTTTATGGGCTCCACGCACTGTTCAAAGGAGACTTTCGGATAGCAGCAAAAGATGAGTGGGTCTTTGCAGACATGGATCTATTGCATAAGGTTGTCGCCCCGGCAATCCGAATGTCTCTGAAGCTACACCAGGTAGGGTCAGTTTTGGTTTTAAGTTTTACTACTGCATCTGCTTTCTTTGGGAAACACAGGAAACCTTAGAAACTGTCCAAAGAAAAAAAACAACAAGCGGGAAAAGGAGTACTTGTTGCCTTATTCTGAGAAACTTCCTTAACCAAAATGGAAAAGCTTGGCATTTATTTATTTTGCATTCACTTGATCTTCTTTTCCGTACCCCCCAGCTGCCCACTTGAAACCCCTGATATTGCAGAGCTTGACCCTGCATTTTTTCATCAAAACAAAACTGATGGTCATGTCGTTTTACTTGCATGGATACTATAAAGATGGTTTCTAGACTGAAAAGAAATACGTGAATTGCTAATTTATTGGTCCTTTCATGAATGGCAATACACGTGACGCTTCCATATGTTAAAAAAGACGCAGCTGAAAGGTGGGTGGGTTGAAGGGTTAGTGTCACTGCTGTTTGATTAGGTCAGGCTGTTTCTGACCCCGTTCTCTTTTCAGTTGTAAAAATCTGGCACACCTCCACTGAAGTTGCTCCAATTCCTTCACGTCAACCCCTGTATAGCTTGGACTTGATATTGTTCTTGCCCTGGCAAGTTAAGATTTAGGAACACATGCTTTTATTATGCATGATATTTATAATTGCTGTGAATGAAACTGAAGTGGAACTGCTGTGAATTAGTATCTGAGAATTTGACACAACAATTTTATGAATGTTATCACTGGCCGCGTTGCTGCTGTTTAGTTACAGCTAAAGTAGTAACACAATACTGTGGTAGCTGCTGTTTGATTCCCAGCCTGTGCTTTTGTTGGTGGTTTTTCGTGAATAAAAATAGGGATTTCCACAAGAACTGTGGAATGCCTCAGGTGATTCCAATCTCCCTCCGGCTTACCCAAAAGCTCAGCCTCCTGTGGTTTCCCGCTTAGTCAGAAGAAAGTGGATAAGCTGGCATTCTCAGAGTGTCTTTGTCCAGTGGAGACGTGAGATCGGAACAGGTTACAATAAAACAAAAATCATACCTTTCTAGATTACTGTTAAATTAATTATTCTACCTTCCTAAAGACACTCTGTATCAAATGGCAAGTCACTTGGCGGGTCAGCTGGCAACTGTTTGAAAAACAGGATTTTGATTATTGTTAATAGGTTTTGTGTTTTCACAAGTACTCCCGACCTTTTCAGTACTCTTTCCTGTACTACCAGGACCAGTTCACTTGCCCAGATGAGTATGAGGACCCAGCCGTTTTGTACGAAGCGATCCAATCTTTTGAGGAAAAGGTGGTGATTTGTCACGAAGGGGACCCAGCCTGGCGCAGCGCTGTACTCTCCAACAGAGAGGAGCTGCTAACCTTGCGACACGTGGTAGATGAAGGAGCAGATGAATATAAAGTTATCATGCTCCACAAAAGCTACTTGAGCTTCAAGGTTATCAAGGTACATAGACCATCTTTCTAATACTGGGGTAATTTCGGGCTGTGGTGACTAATGTTATTTCTGAGTAAGCTGGCCAAAAAGAGAGGTTGATTGTAGTTACTGGAGTAGGGACCGGAGGCTAAAAGAGCTCTCTTTGGTTGACTTCCATTTTGCACCCATGTATTTGTCCATCTGAAATAACAGTCCAGGCTTTACCAGGAAGTAGCCAGAAAGGTTCATAAAACCTGTTGGCACAAAGACATGAAGTGTTTGCACACACAGCTATTGCCGTTCTACCTAGATCACGTAGTTCTGCATCTTAAGTAGCAAACGTTTTGACATGACCCACGTGTTTTTAACCTACCCATAGGTCAACAAGGAGTGCGTCAGAGGGCTTTGGGCTGGGCAGCAACAGGAACTGATTTTCTTACGCAATCGTAACCCGGAGAGAGGAAGCATCCAGAACAATAAACAGGTCTTGCGGAACTTAATTAATTCTTCATGTGATCAGCCACTGGGATATCCAATGTACGTTTCCCCTTTAACCACCTCGTACCTTGGGACACACAGCCAACTGAGGAACATTTGGGGGGGACCTGTCAGTTTGGACAACATTAAAAAGTGGTTCAGATCCAAATGGTTAAGGTAGGTGTTAAATTTTCACTATGCTGATAGAAACCTGGCAGTCTTAGTTCAACTGTATTTTCTGTTAAAGTAATCCCATACTGTCATCTGAGTAAAAAAAAATAATTGCAAATAACTCGGAATATAAGAAAAGAGCCCTACAGATATAGCAGATAGCAAATTCATTAACTCATTTTTGCTCAATTGCTTTCTACATGTTCCACAAGAGTCATTATCAAATCACTTAGCACTACAGACATTTCCCTTATTCCAGGGAATTTTACTGTGTATGCCTTGTAAATAAGGGTATCTTTTCTGTCAGTCAGTGATGTGTCAGAACATGAGTAAATGTGTTGGTGGGTTATGGTGGGTTATGCTCCAAAGCTTTGGCAGTATAGATGACCATCCCAACATCATTGTTCTTGATCAAAATGCATCTAAACATGTGCTTACTGTCCACCAAAACTGCCTGACTTCCCCTAGGTATGCATTATGAGTATCTGACATGTTCCATCTCTGTCCTACATGCTCTTGTCATAGAGTAGTAACTCACTCTTGGTCTCATTCCCTTCACCTGCCCTGTCACCACTGTGGCTGAGGAGAGGCAGGGGACCATGGAGAGACTGTGGGAGCCAGCTTGCATGCTAAGCCCTACACTAAAATGCCAAGATTGTCATGCTAGTTATTATGGCTTATTATGCTAGTTTCCCACCACACAGCTCATTCCCACTGAGCTCCCTCCAGCCCGTTCCTCCTTCTTTGCTACTTGGTTACCTCATGCAAAAGTTAATCTTTAGAGACCACTGTAAAATTAGATAAAGAGTCCTAAGGTCTTGCAAGGCTCCAAAGCCACTTAACACACCCAAGGAAAGGTTTGGGTTGTGTCATACACAATTTTGTTCCAAGTAAGCTTACCACATCATCATCTTTGTCATCTCATAAAATATCAAAAGACCTGCAGCGGTATGAGAGAGTACAGTTACACATCTTGAGGGCACCTGATGTTGGTGGCACAAATTTCATGCATAATAAATGGCTGACCACGCTTCTGTTCCTGCCAACAGAATGCGGAAGGACTGCCATGCAGCTCACCACGAGAGAGGTAACGTTGAAGAGGCAGATAGTGGAGGGGCGCCTTCGTCTGGCAGCAATTCCACAGGCAATTCAAGCCAGAGCAGCAGCTCACAGCCCACCAGAGATGGAACCCCTCAGTTGCAAGCTTCTTCTCAAGAGGTCCAACAGCGTGCAGGTATTTGCACCATTTACTCAGATTTTTATGTAGTCTTCTCCTGAGGGGCTGCGTAGGCAGAGGCTTTTGGAGAGTGCTCATGTCCAGTGGAAAACCAATTTGAGAGAGAGCGAGCTTTGTCTTTCATAATGACCAAGCACATGTAGGAGATGGCTTCATGATACAGTTCCAGGTATTTACTGGGAGGGTATAAGACAAATGTGATTCAGTAAAGGTTCCACTGTCCAACTCCTTTTTGTGTAACTTTTGGAGTAGGAGGGGCCACTGACAATGCTGGAATGAGAAATGCAGATGGGAGGGAGTCTACACGTGCAATGCAGGGAGCCCGTACCACAGTGAACCTGTGATTATCATTGGCTGGGAACGGCAGAAGTGAAAGTATGCAAAAATCTTAATTATCTTGGAAGGACCATGACAATTTATTCAAGGAATTGGTTTGGCTGTTCATCAGCACATGTGGAGATCAAACAAATAGGAAATAACTTCTTATGTCTATACAGCAGTTACCAGGAGAACATTAAATGTTGCCAATCATTCTGTCAACTAACAGCTGAGCCCTTCTCATATTAAATGATGGATTCAAAGTACTTCAGACATATTCACAAGGTAGAACTACTGGCCTTCACATTGGAAATATACATTAAGTTTGGCAGTGGTTCACTGTGAGACCTATCACTGTGGCATCAGGACTTGTAAAGTAAAGCAGATTCACTCAACCTTTCAACGAGTTGTGGTATTACTGTATAAATTAAAGCAGAGAACTAGAGGGGTATGACACTTGTTTGTTTCCTGTTAAATCATTTTGACCTATCATTAAAGATAATGGACAGGACTGGAGAAAATCATCCCTGAATATAAATCATGTTGTAAGAATAAAGTAACTGCTTCTTTTAATTGAGTCTAGCGTTAGAGGAATCCCCATGCGCATACTCATAGCTTGACACTGCAGTAATCAGAATGGCAAACTTAATTGTAAAATAATGATCCTGAGCATGCTATACAAGAATGAAAGTTAATTGTGAGTTGTTTAAAAGAACATATTGGGTGCCCAGAAAACCACAGTCAAGAGAGAAGGTCACACTTAGGTAAGAAAAGCAACCCGGCTTTGAGGTAAAATGAAGAAATGCACAACAAATGCAAGGAAGTGGGAAACAGCAAATGCAAATCAGTATTCAGTCCTGAGAGACCGCTGATAAGAGAAAGAGTGAAACAAGAAGTTTCTGGCTAGCACTGTTAAGGACAAAAAGATGAAAGTGGGTTTGTGGCTGTCTCTTTTTAAAGAGTATTAGAAGCAAAAGAAATCCAAACAATGGTCTTGATCCATCACAGTATAGAAAGGCAGAGTTGCCAGTAATGTAGAAATGAGAGAAGAAGCGTCTGGTTTGTATTGGGGAACAATGCAGTTAATCTATTTCTACGATCTGATGAAAGAGCGGCTATCAAAGCTGCCTGCTTAATTGAGCAAATCCAAATGACTGTCATTCAAGGAGGATTTTTAAGAGACCTGGTTAAAAAGCAAGTTCTGTTTGATCTTCAGAAAGTATTGGGACACTAAGGCAACACCAGAGGACTGGGAAAGAACTTACCCTATGCCTGCTCTTAAAAAAGCAGAATGAATGGGGTGACCTTGGTAATGCGTGTGTAACAATCTGACTTTGGCTCAGGACACTGTTAGCCTACCACGCACAGTCCTAGTGCCTGGATTTAAGAAGGACATTTTTAATTTGGAAGGAGTTCAAATATTACCAAAGGTCTGGGAAATACATCCTGTAGTGAAAGACTAAGAGCTTTCAAACAATTTATGTTGTAGAAGATGCTTTGGTCGTAGCCTGTAAGCACTTACCTGGGCAACAAAAGGTGACCAAAGACAGTTGATTTGAGCAGAGTTGGACATAACAAAGCTAAACAAATTCAGATTTGAAATCAGGTGCACATTTTTAACAGTGAGAGTAAATAGTGAAACAAGTGACCAAGGGTTAAGATGGATTCTCCATGACTGGTGATATTGGATGCATTTCTTAAAAATAATCGTAGTAATCAGTAACACCATACAGGAATTAATTCCAGGAAGTTCTGTGGCCACGCTGCATAGCACAGCAGACTAGATGATCACAGCAATCCCTTCTAGAGTCATAATCTTGAATCAAGTGCATTTAATGTTTTCATATTTCATATTTCATTTTGCAGCCTGGTGCCATCAAGTCTGCAAAATGCAATGAAAGCCCGATATAAAAGTGCGACCCAAATCAGGAGCACTGGAAACGTGTGGGGTTCTCCCCCAAAGTGTCCTTATTTCATGATGCAGTTTATAGAACAGCCTTTGTTTCCTAAGTGTTTTCAAGGACAGAGTTATTTATGTGTAGACGCGGGTGGTCTCCTGTCCAATGCTCTAACCACTGCATTTGGAATGAATATAGAATACTTTTGGACAGGGGTCAGCCTGGCAGTTTAAACCACAAACAGATGTTTGGCCATGTTAGCCCCTGCACAAACTAATGCAGCACAGCCCCTCTGTTCTTAATTCCAGCCCATTCTTTTTCTTTAACGACGGTGACATATTAAAATAACCATCAGATGTAGAAACCAAAGCACTTAAACAAAACCCCAGAGTTTCAAGAACCCAAATCCCTGCAGAGGCCAGACGTGCGCACCGGTGCCAGTGTGGCAGCCGGGCCTGACCCCACCACAGCGCGTGCCCTCCCGATGGATCACGCCCCAAGTGCAGAGGACACTGGCAACATGGCACACAGGAGCCACGTGCATCTGTCCTGTTCCTCTCAAGCCGAGAACTTGGAGCTCTTATTACAGAGAACGCTGCTTTGCATGCCATCTTAGGAAAATTATTTTTTTATTGTTTTGGGAGTATAGAAGTAGAACTAAAGATACATTGTAAGTGGGGTGTGAAAGTGCCCAGTGCTTGCCAGACCAACTAGGTTTTAGTCCAGCTAAAGAGGCCCAGTCAGGCTGTGGCCCAGCTCTGCCATCTGACTCTGTGCCAAGTTATCAAAATTCTCTTTGCTTCAGCATCTGAAAAATGAGGCTAATGATACCGGCCTCTGGAAGGCTGGTCTGTGGATGTAAACCAGCGTGTTTCAGCTATATAATGTAAATAGTTTGAATATGAAATTCTGCATTACTGAAACCCTCATAAATTCAGCAGTCATGTTTCTAGAAGATAGTGTGAGATTTATATTCCTTTATGCCTGCAAAATTTTAGTACGTGGAGGAGTTTCTGTGCTTCCCTCCCCTCCGTAGTCTGAGTACTGGGAAAAACCAAAGCAAATAAAATTACCAACAACCTGGAAATGCCTGACAGAAAAACTTGATTCTGTGTTGATGGCTCTCAACAGATTTTCTGGCATCAACTCTCTACCCCACAGCTATAGCTAGGAAACCAAAATGCCAGCTTGTGTTAATGTTTGGAGTTTCCTGGAAAGCAAAAAAGCCCATCAGGCACTCGCGTGACTGGGCATTTGCTGCGTAAGCTGGGGTTAGAGCCTGTCTGCAGGGGCAGTAAACTCTTTTGGGGCCTGTGGCACGTGCCAGCCCGCTGCATGCCATTTGCAGAGCGCCTGGGTGCAAGCAGGTGGTGCATTCGCTGGTCGAGCAGTTGATTTAAGTTTTGTTCTATACCTTTTTAAATATGCATAAGAAATACAGAAATTATTTGTTTGAATAATATAAGATGTTGATACAAATGTTAAAAATGGGGGGGGGGTACGTACAGGAAGACGGAAGTGGTCTAGGCACATCAGAACAGCTTACCTAATCTTCACAGAATAGGGCAAAAGCCTTACATGGGTCTCATTCAGACTTCCAGTAGCCTACCCTAACCAGAGGGTAATCTTTTGTAAATACCACTCCCAGAACTCAGATATAGTTTAATATTAGTCTTAAAAGCTCTTGTGGCTTGAATGCTATAGTCTTCCACTTCGTTGAATTCTCAAATTTTCTTTCCCCATATACAGGAGTAATTCTTTTTAATATGCTATTGTTTTAACTCATCGGTTTTTTGTGTTATTTTTGCATTTAATTATACCAAGCCCTTTAAGGTGGATATTTAGTGTGCTTGTCAAATGGGTCTTGAGTTACACCAATACTATGCTCAGTCATTGACTGGGCAGATTGAAATGTATGTGGCAGGATAGGTGTGTGCCTGTGATTACTGTCCTTTCCTCGGGGTGTCTTCTCATTTTCCTCTCTCTTGACTCAGTGCAGAACCACTGCAGCTATTCTGACCAAGCGCCAGAACCCTTGTAGTGAAAAACTCAGAAAGGTTCATAGGTTTAGCAGTGTGTTATTTCTGTTATTCTTGGGATTCTTATGCTGATAAAACCAGTAGTAATATGCCAATAGTAATATGTACACATGGGACACTGTCGAGAGCATGGAGTTCATCAGGATGCCACTTACTTAAATACATTAATCTTTCTTTTAAAGGCAGGAGAAAACCCAGGAGTCAGTCCGTCCAGGCACACACTGTTTTAAACCAAAGGCCCCCTGCTTCAAGTCATTCTGGACCAATTGTAGAAAGCCGCCAGCCTTTCATCCAAACATCTACATCTGCCCATGAAATTGCCCAAAGGCTTTCTAGTAGTCAGCTGTCATTCCACAACTCGGCAACATCTGTGTTTTCCCAGTCCCCCGCCGTTCCAGTTGCTGGCCAGCTGACTGTGCAGGACCGTGCTGCAGCAATGCTCAGGTCCAGTCTGGCCTCTTCCACCAGCTCAACTCTCAGCCTGCTGTTCGGCAAGAGAAGTTTTTCAAGTGCTTTGGTGATTTCTGGGCTCTCAGCTGCAGACGGAGGTAACACCAGTGACACCCAGTCATCCAGCAGTATGAATATCGCCATGGGTCCATCCGCTAGAGCAGCAAGTCAAGCAGCTCGGGTAAGGCTGAAGCCAAAATAGCAGCACTAAGCGTGAGCTACTGTGCTGCTCTCCTGTCCCGTTCCTGAGCTGTCCTCACCACCATTTGGCTTCTTCCTTCTCACAGAAGAAAAAGAGTCTTTTCCAGCACGTCAGGATTTTGGTATTTGGTTTGAATTTTGCTGTGTCACAATGAAAGTAAGACTGTTTAATATTAGAGTGTATATGAGAGTGATGTATTTGTCAGGGTGGCTGTTAGGCAAGCACCTGAAATTGCAAACTGGGGCAAAGTCCCTCTTCCTTTCACTCAGACGAGGGACTTAGGTCTCCATTTTCTGCAGCCCAGGTGATGAGCACCATCATAAAGCAGACTAAATAGCTCCCTCCTTGCTTGCTTACACAGGACTTAATTATTTGTACAAAAAGGAACGGTTCCCACTGAGCAGTGCACTTTTCCGTCCCTCTCTCCGACCAGAAATTCAATCCAGGACCTGAAAACCTTGTTGCTGAAAGGGTTAGTCAAAGGAAGCCTGTAGGAAGCATTTCCCAAAGGAAACCTGCATGCCCTGTGATTCAGCATTTTCTAACAGCAAAACAGTACACACAAAGAACTCGCACCCCTCTTCCCAGTAGGCTCCCAGTTGTATTCCCATCTCCCCTGGAAAATTCAACACACATAGTAGTGTTATTGTTTTATTATCTACTTAAGTATATTTATTTAACTTTGGTTGACATCAGTTGCTTTCCTGATTTTTGAAAGTTTCACCTCAGTATGACAGAGCAGTAATATGAGAAGATGGGCTAGAGATAAAGGGCAACTGCAACTAGGGGTGGACTGACCACGTAATTAAGACAGACTTTGCATTTGGCCTATCAAAATGGAAACCGAATTGGCAAGAGATATGACTCTGGATTGGCATATCCATATGACTGTGGATATGGAAAGTCCAAAACACTCTTCTGCTACTATCATTCTGAACTGTGTATAACTTCCCTAATTGTCAAAGAATCCCCCAAACCTCAAGTGAAAACAGCTCCTTAGCCTGTGTCTATTTTGCTCTCAAAAAATACCATGTATGGTATAGTTCCCTGGAGTTTTGCCATGACCTTCAACAGAAGTTGACTGAGTGTTACTCATCTGGGTCTGATCCTGTTTTATTACTCTAATGAGCATTACTAATATTTTTACATGTACAGCTGAACATACCAGATGACGAGGCATAATTCCAGCTCTCAAGAGTTTATAGCCTAATTTGCAAGAACTCAGCCAGTCTGCAATGCTGAGTACTCATGGTAGGATTCACCTCATCTAACTTTAAGCCATCTAAAATTTGGGCCTGAAGTCTCAGTAGATTGTTGGTGTGGCCTCTCTATTCAGTGGAGAGGACAATCCACGCTGTCCTTACAGCTGTGAGGAAGAAATTGTCCCCGGGACACTTGTATCTCTCTGCCAACCATCGACAGCCTAGATGATATGCTAAGACTACACGGTTAAATGTAAATGAGGTGAGTCCTGGCCAAGGTAGCTGCTCAGAGCCCAGGTGCCTATTTGATTGAAAGTGGTAAGGAGGAAGTGTTTTATTTAAATGTTAGCACAGTTCTGCAAAGCTTTTATACTAATGGACTCCTTACAATGGGGTGACACTGAGCCTAACATTTTCAGACTGATAATTGCATCCCAGTTTTGATGAAAAGGTTTCTTTCTAAGTTGGATTTAAAATTTGGTGTATAAAACAAGCCCCAGAACAATCCGACTCAACTTCTTAGAAGTCAGCCCTGCTTGGAGCAGTGGTTTGGACTGGATGACCTCCAGGAGTCCTTTTCAATCTAAATTATTTCACAGCTCTCTATACACATACATCTGTGGTACTAAACCTCTAGCTCCTGGTCTGCTTTTCTTTCCAAATGTATGTGTTACACAAAGTGTGTCAAGTACCTCTTCAGAAGTCCCTTGTGAATAATGCATGTTAAGAATCCCATGCAGTTTCACAGAATGATATTCCTAAATCAGTTTTTCAACTTTTTTCACCTGTCACTTCAAAAAATAGCTCAAGTGTTACTTAGACATTTCCTAAACTAGTTGACTTTTTCTTTCTAGCAACAAACTGAGACCTGCGAAGCAACGGATGCTGCAGAACCTAGAGGACGGCGAGAGGCAGGCCCGGCCCACACCATATTCATGGAGTGCAGAAGGGCCAGCCAAGAAGATATGGCCCTGGAAGACACCGCTTCTCAGCAAAGCCTGTCTGAGGAGCAGTAAGGACTATTCCTAGTGTAAGGGCCACACGCTGCTTAGAATTAAATCAAGACAGAGTTAAGTCAGGGAGCTGCACGTGGGTTTAAGTTCTTTCAAATGTAACAAGCAACCTCCAAATGTTTATTTTTCTAACTTCCACACAAGAATACTATGGGGCAGGTGTTCTTCAGCTAAAGGCCTTGGCATGAGTAGGGTTGGAAGATGTCCTAAGAAACACACAGTGCCACTTCATCTCAGGTTCTTGTAAATCCTAGAGCAATGAATACAACCTGTTTGACGTTCCTTCCCCTGCAATGGTTGGAATCACAAATGAATACAGTGGGAAATATTAATACAACTCAGTGAAAAGCACACAAGACATCTCTTTCCTGCCATAACTGAACAGCTGATTGCATGCAAACTAATTGGCATTTGATATATAACATATAGCAAAAGGCAACTCTGAACAGAAGCAACAAATACATAAAAGGACAGTACAACATGTACTGTAACATTAGAGCTAAATCAGATTTTTTTTTTCCAACAGCAAATATCTTATTTGTTTTCAACATGTTATGCAGGTGGTAATTCTGAATAGCAACATAGCATCACAGACTGATATACTGCATGCAGCCATACTGAAACACTGTGTGAACGAGCCACGCTACACAGATTAACAGAAACATTAGAAAAGAAAGTACCAGTGCATGGAAAGCCTTCAAAGCATATGGTGCACCTTATTTGCAGAGAAAGCAGCTTTGCATAAACAGCTGCTCTTAGGTATTATCTCGTGCTCCTCTTTGGTTTACAGCAGTTTCTCAAATTCCAGGCAGCAGCCCCCATGGGAGTTGCAAAAGGGCCCAGGGGAATCCTCAGGGACAGGAAAGTGCAAAGCAGGCTGTAATTGTTGCCTGGAAGTGTTTGTATTAGGAAGAGAACAGCTAAATGCCTTTAATTGCTGGACACAGCTCAGTGTCCATAAAACCTTCTAGCCAGTAATTACAGAGCATTCTGATTTCCCTCCCCCAGAGAAACCGAGCTGCTGCCAAGTTAGTAGTTGCATAAAGATAGATGAGCAAAAAGGGAGGCTATGCGTTCACAAAGTTCAGCAAACACTGATTTACAGGAATGCATGACTACCTTGGAAGGCAAAAGGCTACAACAAATCCTTCCTCTACTATAGCATCTAAACACGCACGCGTGTTCTCATTCTTCTTTCTTTTTTTCTTTTTAAATTAAAAAAATTGCAGCTATCAGTGTCTTGCTGTTTCTCTTTACTGTAACTACCATAGATTGTTTCTAATTCTCAACACGATGATGTGCAGCCAGGCTGTCTCTTCCCAATTAACAAGAAAGATTTAAACAAGAGATGCTGTAAGTAAGTCTCATTACTGTTCAGCGATACATAGTTGCATTCTGAGCTTCCTACTGTGCCACACTTAAGATTATAAGTAGTAGAACTAAATAACACTAGTGAAAATAAAATGATCCAAGTATGTTTTGTGTGGCAGCAGTTTTTGAGTTTTCTTTTTTATTTGAATTGTTTTCACCTGCTTTCTGCCTTACAAGATGGCGAAATCTAGTGGTTTTCTTTCATTTCACATCTTGATTAACTGATTATTTTAAGGCTCAGCACAACCTAGGCAAAATTCTACTCACGTACAAAAGGCTAAAAGCAGAATATTCACGTCCGGCCCCGTGAGACACATGGTCATCAGTGCAGGTTAGGCCCTACTAATGTCTCCTCCAGCATCCAGGTGTGATGGGGCAGAGGAAACTGAATTCAGCTGCTCCCTTCCGACCATTTCTGGCAGATAACACCTCTCCTCCCACTACCCTGCTCATGAAGCACTTCGTTACAAATGAAGGATGGAGGTTATACCGGTAGGTGGAGGGCTTTTACTAATAGCCACCAGCCCCATTTCTGCCTTGGGGGCTTCTGCATGGCAGTCTAAGATAAACCATCACAGGTTTGTCTTCCTAAACCCCTGCCTTCCGTGGAGGCAGGGCAAGCATGCAGCTGCAGAAGAACTTTCCCATATGCCTCGCTTAGGCCTCCCATTTTCACCTCTTTAACTTAAGTTTGAATTAATTTCCATCGAAAATAAGTAATTCCAGTACTCCAAATCAACCTAAATTATTCTATCCAACTCCAGCATACTAAACCAGATTGTGAGGCAGCCGTACAAATCCTACCAGCAGCAAGCTGCTCTGTCTGCTTTGCATGAGCCGAGGCCCCACAGCACCACCTTCCCCCAGCACATCTTCTGTAAGAGACTCCACCATCTCCATGCCCTCTGGTACCGTCCCCTAACACAGCGCAGCTGCCTCGCAGTTCCTGATGCAGTTCCAGCTGCCAGCCCCTGGAGCGTAACTCCTTGGGGACAGCAGTGTGCCACGAAGCCCAGCCTTCTGCTGAGCCGGCTGGCTACCAGGAAAGGCACGTCCTGACTCCGCTGCTGAGGCACAGTGCGATAGCAGGGCAAGGCAGGGCAGAGCAGGAGTCAAAGTAAGATTCAAAAATTAGTTCCTTTTTGTAGCCATGGCTTACACAGTTTTTATTTTGCCTTAAAGTTGTTACTGTAGCATAGTAGGTTGAAAAAAAAAAAACCACCTGAAGAGTGACCATTAACAACAGTAACAAAGACAAAAAAAAAATCAAAGATAACACAAACACTCTTAATGTTAAATATGGCCCAATCCTACAGAATAACCAGACACGGGGATTAGAAATAAAGCCTAGAACTTTACCTGTAGGTTGTATTGATTAAACACAGCTTAGATCTCCCTCCATGTTTGCATGAGGTAGAGATAGACCCGATTACTTTGAACATGACGGAAGATGCATTCAAGGCCCTGATGCACGCAAAGCAAACAAACAGGTACCTAACCTTTACACAAGGCCTGTTTCAACAGCAAGCTGCTCAGAACAGCTCTGTATAGCACCAAAAGGCACCCAAGTCCACAGGAATGCTATTCTCAGCACCAGTGCCTACAGATACACAAAGGCTTTAAGCCATACCTTTATTCCTGAAAGACCTCAGCAGCTTGATACTCAACCTCACAGATGAGGTGCTTCAGAGTTGCAAGACGAAGGTACCCGTGACACCCCAGGAACCCAACCTGTTGGGCAGTTTTGGGCTCTGAATGAAAAGCAAAGGCAACTTTCACTGCTTTTCCATCAGCTGCGGCTCTAACGATACATTTCACAATGCAGAATGCTGTTGTTAAAACTTGGCCCTGAAGTTGCTCAGGCTGAACAGTTTGCCTGCGTTACATGTCTGATCTCTTACCACAGCTGTAACGCAGGAAGGATGGCCACCACCAACACCTAAGTACCTTTTATATGTGGTTCCATTTTGTGTCAGTCTTCAAGATTCAGGTGCTATGCTTGAATTTTTCCAGAGCTGCAGAGGCCACTTACTCAGCTGGGGCTCAAAGCAGAAACCTGCCTGATGCTCATTCAGCCAGCCCAGAACCTTCTTATTTTCACAACCAGAAAGCAGTGACACTCCTGTCTCACTAGCAAGCTGAATGCATCCTTTGAGGAAATCAAGCACTCAATCCATGAGAGCATTTGGTACCTGCGGTTCTTTCATAGAAATGTCAGAAGGGATGAAGAGATGGAGGGCCTATCTGCCTCCCCTCCAGCTTAACCCCAGATAACATCACCACTGCCAAAAAGAAACATCTGGAGTGATTTTTATCCATACTGGCTCAGCAGGACCCTCGCAACCAGAGAGCAGAGGAACACATACAGTACAGCAGGCTACAGGAAGGAGTATAATGAGTATATGGTGTTAAAAAAAAAAAAAAAAGGCGCACAAATGCAGTACTTTAGCCCTTGCATTAAGTGTGAGATACTTGCTCCCATTTTGTTTTCCTAAACTTTCCTTTCACTAATAGGCCCTTGTTTACATCATACAGTAAAAGCCAGGTGCTACACTGCTAAGGGTGAAACACCGCCCAGAGATCTGGTAAAAAGACTTTAGTAACATTTTATCAAAGCCAACCACAGGCTGCTGAACTGCTCACATCCACCAGGTACGTTGTCAAGCCCCCAGCTGGGCTGTTTCCCACCAGAGCAAGCAAGTAGGAAACAGTGATGGGCACAATGTACAAAGTTCATTTCCGTTCATCCAAAAATATAAATGCCAGAGGTCCTGCTGTTCCCTCGACTTTGAAGTGTCATACAAACTTCTGTGTGAGGAGTTCTCGTTGAAATGTCTCACCTCATTCCCATCGACAGAAAATCTTGGCATTCACTGCATTTAAGACACACGTTAACAAAAAGGACTTACCAGTGCGAGTCTTATTTCCCTCGACAAGGTGGCCAATACTCTCAGTATCTGTGACTGACATTCTGAAACTGTTAAGCTCCTAGGAGTCTCTGCAATGTCATTCACAGCTTTTTCTAAAAGCTATTTATTAGAATAAAGCAAGAAATGTCATCTGCACTTGGCTCCAACCCACCAACTGACTGCTCTTGTCTTGCTGGGGAATTTAAGTTAAAGATTAGCTGAATTTTTGCAGCTCATTCTAGAAGATTAGAATTACCAGTGAAATTCTCCAGCATGTAATAATAATTTTCTCATCAATGTGTATTTTTTAACTACCCAATTATTGCCATATTTAGATTACTCCCTGGATTGGGAGCTAGTCTTTAATTACAATGTTTCACTAGTGCTTGTACATCCTTAAATCTGCAACACAGACATATTACTTATAATTAACTTTGCAGTAGGTCCAGCGTTAGAGATTCACCTCTCTCATTCAGCCTTCTCAGAGTTTTACAAGTCAAAAATTGTCTAATGCATGATAAATAATGCAGGCCCTGTTTATTCCATGCTGTGTGCAATTTTATATTGGAATTACAATCCTCCTTGCCAAAAATGTCCTTGATTCTGGGGCTTCGAGAGCGTAATTGGTACCTCATATTCTCCCCTTTTTTGCACCAATTAAAACCTGCAGGTGCAGTAGTGTTGTCATCTGGAATCTTGCTGGTACATCAGAGGTTATTTTCACCAAATGCGTGCTATTAGTAAAATCGGCCCATCAGGGAATTGTGAATGCTCTGTTTGTTGTTACAGTGCTCTCAAGGCCTTCCAAGTATTTTGCTAGTGCAAGACCAGAAAATAAATTTTTACCTCTAAAGTAAACATAGTGTGTCATAAAAACTAAGTTCAGTTGGAAATACTAGTTTCTCACCCACTCAATGCATATTTGACACAGGCAAATCATTTGTTCAGGACTGTCTCAGATTTAAAGGCCAGACATG